GAAAGAAAGAAAGAAAGAAAGAAAGAAAGAAAGAAAGAAAGAAAGAAAGAAAGAAAGAAAGAAAGAAAGAAAGAAAGAAAGAAAGAAAGAAAGAAACTTTAATTTAAAGAATACTCATCACTTTTCTTTATTGCTATCATTTTGACACAGAGCACGACATGCAGTTCTAGTCTGCAGTATGTCCATTTCTTTTAACATAGTAGTTTTTTTTTTTCAGAAAAATCAATAATTAATTTGTCTATTAAAATTTATATGTCAGTCCTCAAAAGTAAGGGAGCTCTATATGCATAAATACTCTTTGTGATTAAGAAAGTAACATACAGAAATTGTCATCTGTAAATTCTACTTTCCAACCCTATCATTTAATGCAGTTTCCATAGATGTATTTATTCATGATATAGCCATCGAAATTGCACAATGAATAAAAATCAAAAGAAATTTCACAAATATAAAGACCAAATCTATATTTGATTTATCATGCTTCTTAGAGGTACACCAGAAAAGAATGATTGCTTTTCTTCTAGTAAGCCAGATTTATTGCAAATCTTAGGTCTTCTTACAATATAATCAAGTTTCTACAGTATATTTTTGCATTATTGTGACATCAATTAAATGTACAGAGTTTTATTTTATGTCAACATAGTCTCTAGAAAAAAATTCAGCCTTCTTGTTCAGTACAGGTAGTGCTCATTCATCAACAGAAATTGGGATTGGCATTCCATTACTACTTGATGTGGTGATAAAATATACGATATCACACGACCATATCATTTACCATTGGCAATCCTATAAGCCCGTATTGATGTTGTTAAGTGAATATCATGGATATTAGACAAGGATTTCATATGACTGCGACTTGAGACTTCCTGCAGACTTCCCACAAAATCAATGGAAAGCCAGTGAGAAATCTCAAGTCCCCTAAGGCTCACAATCAGGCAGGCAGGAGGGTGAGTACTATGGAGGAGGGGTGGGGTACTCCAGTGAGTATAGGTCCGTGTGGATTGGTGAAATGTGTGCAAGTTAGGGAGGAGATGCTGTACCGAGGCCCAGATATGGGTGTCAGGCTGGCAGGAGAAAGGTGCTAACATGAAATTCCTGGGATTGGGTACTCCATAGCAAAGATGTTCAGGAGAAAATTGGTGGGAGCAACTAGAACCTTCCCTGCTGGCTTCCCCACTTCCTTTGTTTGTAACTTGGCAGGGAAAGTTCCAAATGGTAATCACATGACCACAGGATGCCGTACTTGTCAAAAGTATGAACTAATTGCCAAACACCCAGATTCTGAACACCTGACAGCAGGGGTGCTGGGACAGAATACCACTCATTTAGTGCCACCATAATTTCAATGAATGGTTTTTCACCACAGGACTTGTAAAACAGGAAAATCAGACTTATTCTCCTTTGAAGACACATATGCATGTATCATTTATATAAACCTTATATAAAGATGATGCATGCAGGTTTGGGAGTCTGTGACTTCCATTTTATTGACTCAGTGGTGTTTTTATGATAATTAACTGTTGGCCTTCCTAGAGGTCCCTGTATAAATAGGCAAGCAAACCTTCATTTGCTCCAGTATCTATCATACATAAGCAAAGCAAAAAAAGATGGTCTCACATCTCCACCCCTAATAGTCAATACATATATTGGTTAGAAAGCCACTATTGTCTACTCCATTTTAAACTGCTGTTGAAATCATTTTATTTTAATAAAAAAAAAAATACAATCTGGTCTGGTAAATTTGAGTTGGATTGGGTAGTGATTGCAATGTTAAAGAAAGTTGTTTGTCTGTATATTGTTAGATATAAAAGCAACGATCAGTTTATTGGCAAATAAATGTGCTAATAAATGTGTGAATGGATAAAGAGAGTAACAAACTTCTTTTGTTTTCTCAGCCTCAAGTACAGTTACTTGTATACTAATTTGAATATGTTCTCACTCCTAACCTTAGAGGCAGTATTCCCATTTGTCATTAAAATGTACCAAGAACATTTTTCTAAAACCAAGCTTTTACTCTAAAGAATATAGAATATACTGCAACTTTAAACCCATATTGTATGTGCCACTGTATTTTCAAACCTATGTTTTCATTCAAGAGTTAAATAAGAATTTATAGAGACTAATGAACAAATTTCTCCCTCAGATGTTCTGCAAATGGATTTTATCTGGATGGCTTTGATCTTCTCATCTTCTATTATCTCCTAAAACCTTATTCTGTCTTATGGGCTAGTTAGTTATTTTTCCTCAATGATCTTCATCCTCTTCTGGTCTTCAGACCATGCCTAACAACTGTTTTTAGCATTGCAATCACTGCCCAATCCAACTCAGATTTACCAGACCATACTTATTAAAATAAACAAAATGTCTCCAATAGCCACTACTGTTGACTCCATTTTAAACTGTCAATATTTTTTTCCGCACCTCCATTCCAATTCCTACATTTCTCTTAGGTGTTTTTAAGGCTTTCCCCTTCATGTCAACTCAATCCAACGGCTTCTCCTTCTATCTCCTATGAGAGAAGCGGTCCTATAAAAATTTAAAATAACATCCACATTTATCTACCTGTTTTCTGCAAAGCTAGCAGAAATCGGCACCTAAAGATTTATTTGCATTACAACTCAGGCATCTGAATAGATGACAAGCTGGCTGGAAGAGCATGGCTAATGCAGGTGCATCACACCCTACTTTCATTCTCGTGGCTCACATTTTTGCCTTACATTTTATTCTTCACTCACAAAATGGGAAAACTTAACTGTGTTCCAAAATGCTTTTTCAAACTCAAATACAGAACTGAAAGAATTAATTTATGTATTAGTTAGAGGCATATTCAGAAGCTGAAAGTAGAACACATAGTGGCACCTCCTTCTCAATTTCCCTAAAAACACACCCTGCAAGGTAGGATTTTTCCATACTTCTCAACTCTGCCACCTGTAAAATTGGACTGGAATATAACCGTACTGCACAACTGAAAACATTTCTGTTCAATAAGCAACTGAATTACATTAATACCCCTGTCACCCATTGTCTTAAAGATTAAGAGCCAGAGCACAAAGCCCAATTCTTTTAGTGCTTGGTACAATCTAAGAAAATTAGAAATTTTGAGTCTCTTCAGTATAATGCTATAAAATAAAGAGATATGCCAAACTTTCTCAAAGCAAATATCACATTACCGTGAGCCCGTTTCATATGAAGCTTCATGTTGCTTTTCTGGGTGAAGCCCATTGTACAATAATCGCATTTGTACGGCCTTTCCCCTGTATGTTTTTTCATATGAACTTGCAGTGCACTCTTCTGGTTAAAAGCTTTCTCACACAAGGTACATTGAAAGGGCCGCTCACCTTTGGTAAAGAAGCAAAGAAATAAGAACAGATGAACTGACCCAAAGGCAAATTGTAACAAAAATTCCTTAAACCCCCCATTTCTTCTAATGTGACCTGAAAAGTATCTTTCTCATTTCAACCTAGCTAATCAATCATCTAGCCCGTTGCAAAATACATGGGCTTAGTGCCATAGTCACAAATGTTCAACAGCCATAATACAGTATGCTGGAAATTGCTATAGGAGAATAAAACGGGATGGTGATTTTCTTAGCCTGCCTTCGTGCAAAATAACCATCATATTATCCAAACAAAAGTCACTTTAATACATTTCTTAAAGGTCACCTATGTTAACATATTCTCGGGGATGCAGCAATTCTACTTGAACGTTTGCCTAGAAATATGACCCTCCCCAAATATCACAAAGTGGTTGAAGACTGTTATTTCTCTTCCACCACACATGTTCCCCAGGTAACGTAGCATTTCCTCCATTGGTTTTCAAATAATTTATTTAATCTGAGCATGCTGCAACTGCAAGAGAAATAATTTCAGATAGACAAATATCCATATATGCAATGTTTACGTTATGTCCTCTACCGCTGCAGACAGAATGGGAAGCTATCAAAGCAGGATACACAGAATATGGAGGAAATTCAATTAATAAGAGAGGTTCTGCAGCTGTTCAGAATAGGTTCCACCCCTCTGGATCCTTCTTTCCTGAAGAGCAGCACCTACAGATGAGAACCGTCTTGCATGAAGAGGACAGCAGTCCAAGTAGATACCTTAGACACTTCGTCTGATAGGTCATGTCTACAATCCATGAATTGTAATAAGGGTGCGCTTTCTCAATATAGCCTCAAAAATGCATGGAGGTTGAAAACAAATGAGGTTTCTTTGCCCTTAATTAGACATAATTTGACATAATTAAACATAATTAACAGAATGGTTAGAATCTAACCTCAAATACTGCAATAGGTATCACTCAGTACTGCTTAGTTACCTGTATGGATGCGACTATGTCTTTCCAATTGGCTTGGTTTAGCAAAGGCTTTTTCACAAGTATCACATTTAAATACTCTTGGCTTTTGGGAACTCGGTGATGGTCCAGCCTGATGTGTTTGCATATGCTCCTAATCAAAGACAAAATACATTTCATTTGGCACATTTTTTAAATAATAGAAATATATTTGGAGGCTTGCTAATTTGGTTCCCATCTCTACAACCCTATATTTATTTTGCAGATCTGGCCCAGGGGTGTTTGAGCAAAAGGACAAGAAATGCGCAATGATATGTGAAACACAACACTTCAAAGACAGATACTACACTACTGCTACATATGTCTACTTTAATGAAAAGAAGGACTAGGGGTGACATGATAACAGTGTTCCAATATCGAAGGGGCTGCCACAAAGAAGAGGGAGTCAACCTATTCTCCAAAGCACTTGAAGGCAAAACAAGAAGCAACGGACAGAAAGTAAACAAGGAGAGGAAAAATTTCCAGCGAGAACAATTAATCAGTAGAATGACTTGCTTTCCTAAGTTGTGGGTGCTGTAAGACTGGAGGTTTTAAGAAGAGATTCTACCAGCTGCCTGAAATGGTGTAAAATCTCCTGCTTGAGCAGGGGATTGGACTAGAAGACCTCCAAGGTTCCTTCCAACTCTGTTATTCTGCTATTTATAATTTCTACGTATAATATTAGAAAGATAAACATCACATGTGTCTAGATTCTACATGTATAAAGAACAGTGATGATCGTGGACATGGCACAAAAGCAACACAGTCACGTAAGTAAGAAAAGTCCCTTTAATACCTCCAACTTTGCCCCCAATGTCCAGTTACCTTCGGCTGGAGAAAAAACTCTCCCAAAAACAGTCTTTAAGTGGAGGAAATTCAGTCCGAAAACGAAGTACATATAAACTGTAAATAAAAATCTACACAAACCACACTGCAGCAATTAACTGGACAGGGCAGGATAAGGATTTGCAGACTTCAAAGGCCAACAAAACACACACAGTTGGGAAGACGCCAGGGACCCAGATAAGCCTCGACAATAAAAGATAACTCATGATTTGCTTCCAACAAGTTGCTGTGTGCAATCTCCCTTTTTAAAAACTGTGTTTCTGAGCTGCAGCTAATGAAGGGAATCAGGGCCCTTTCCTAAGCCACGCAACTCACATTGCTCCCTTCTCTGTTCCTCCCTGTGCGCCCTAGGATGAAGAGGGGGTGGCCTGGATCTTCCTCTGAATTCCTTCTGCCTTGTTCTACCTCTCCCCTGCTCTGCCCAGCCAGACTTTGCCCTTCCCCAGTTTCTTCCACTGCCATTGGAGCCCCACTCCCACTCCCTGTCAGCTGCTCGGCCTCCCCCTCGGAATCAGATTCCGACAGGGGCATGACAGAACTGCTAGTTCATTAAACATTCAAACATAACAATTTCTAATTTTTACTGAAGCAAACTATGATTCAGAATGAAATACCGGTATTTGTTTTTTTATTCAAACTAAGATTTAGTCATCCTGATAACAAGTGGAATTCCTACTGCTTCCTACTTGAAACAATGTTCAAGGTGGCATAATAAAATATAATGGTATTTATGATTGCAACATTAAATAAAACAACAAAGAAAGAAAACACAAGCAACTGGGCCAACACTTTTGAACACTTTGTCTTCATAAAATCTTTTTTCAAGATTTTAATGAAATACCAAAACACAGAGGTGGAAATAGTAAGCTCAGGTTTCCTTAGGGAAAATCAATAAAGTGCCACGGAATTACATTGCCTATCCGGCTAAGGGGAAACAAAATTGTTTCTGTAAAAAATGTGCACCTGGAAGGAAGTTTGCTCATTTGCTAGAATAAGTGCTTCGCTTCAACTAATAGTTGCCATGGAAGTACAGAGCTGAAGGAATGATAGTACAACCCTCCCTTTGAATAAACACGAAAAATGGGTGCATGGATATTCCAGCAATAAGATCAAACAACCTGAAATCCTGAAGGTAGTGCAAAATTCAATTAAATATCAGGGTTGTGCAAAACCTTTGAAAAAGGTATTCTGCACTATGCACTGAGTGTTCCCAGATATTGTTGAATGATTTTGCTCTGATGGATAGAAAATGTTGCAAAACTTCTCTTTAAAAGGTTTTGCACAGTTCTACCAAGGATTTGGTAATGGTAAAGTCTCTGAGTTCATTACAAATCATGGCAACTCCCATTGATAAGTTGTTTTCTTGACAGCAATAAGGTCGCCCTTTATTCTTTCCTTCTTCTGGGGGATGTTTTCAAGTCCTTCAAGTCTGTAAAGATTCTCAATTATCCAGGTCACGGTTGTCCCAAAAGTGCTTTTTCAAGAAGCAAACAAGAACATCCAGTTGCCTCCTGAAAAAGCACCTTTGGGACTTCAAGTCCTTAATTTATCCAAATACCCTGATGTAACCTGGAAGTCTCCTATCCAACTAATAACCAGGCTCAACTGTTAAACCTCAGAGGCAAGACAAGATTGATCACAGGTTCCCATTATTTTCTCCCCTCCTTCCTAGCATTTTCCTGCAAGCGCAGGATCCGTTCCCTCACCTCCTGTCCTGGATCAATCCGGCATTCACGTATTGGTTTGACAGGAACTGACCGACCAGCTTGTCACCCAGGCCTGGTATTGTGGGTTGAGACAGAGATTGTGCCAAAGTCCATCAAGCTAGCTTTTTAAATTTTTATTAAAAGAGTTTAATTTTGTTTCATACCTTCAGATGCGTGGCTCGTTTGAAAGCTTTACTGCAAATATGACAGACGTGGATTCTTTCCTTTCCATGAACTTCCTTGCTATGCTGCATTAGTACAGTGATTGAAGAAAACGTTTGACTACACTCAAAACAATGATGCATGCGGGACTCTTTTTCAACTTGAATACCTTTTGACAGAGGTGGAGAAACCTCACTCACCTGTAACAGGGACATAAAATACATAGGCAAATAATTATGGCAAATGCAACCCACAAAACATTTGTGAGAATATTGAATTGCCTTTTCAGACACCAATTCTTCCATGTAATAAGGGATTAATAATCTTGTTAGCAACTTCCTGCAAGATACATGGATACATATGTGGATACAGACCACACATCACGCACAGGTAATCTGATAAAAGAATCAGGGTGTTCAATACTTTTTCAACCCAACTTAGGGATACCAATTTCCCCATGAATGTGTTTCATTATGTGACAGATTATTTTGCTGTCGAAATTACCCCTCTCACATGGAGTAGGAAGGCGGGATCAGTTTGTCAACCGTAACAGGCAACTGTCTCTTCATCTTCTGTATAAACTTTCTCTAGAGTGATTTTTCCAGTTTCCCAATCAAGCCTGATATTACTATAAAATTATAGTATTATATTATATGGAGTGGAACTGAGCGAGTGAGCAGAAGTGCCGTCCGCTTAAGTGCCCTCTGCTCGCGCAAGCAGAGCTTCCCACATGCATGCTTGCCCGTCCACTCACACGCCCCGGTTTTTAACAGCCCATGGCCCAGTAGTAGGCTGCAGCCCAGGGGTTGGGGACCCCTGCTCTAGGCAGTTTTCAATCCCAGCATTATTTGCATAATGCACCCAACAATCTGGCTCCTCATTTTATCAACTTCAAAAGGATGGAAGGCTGAGTCAACCGTGAGCCTCGTCAGGATCAAATTCCAGGCTGTGGGCAGAGTTAGCCTGCAATATGGTACTTTAACCACTGTGCCACCAGGGCTTTTCATAGTCCAGCATTCATATATATTTCACTTAATTTCCTCTTTTCCTTTTGAGGAAAGGAGATGCCAACTTTACCCGTAGACCAGACACAGCCAGATAAACTAGTTCTACTTTATGGTAAAGCTAAATTAACTGAATCTTGTAAGTCTGCAAGTAAAATCTCCTGCCATCTCTTTTACAGCCCAAGAAACTAGGGACAAATTTTTCTGAGTCTTTTGCTCCACTCACTGTCTAGCTGTGGACTACGCCCTCTCTTATCTGACCATCCCAAAATCTTTCCCACATACCATTACAGAAATTTGGAAACTTCTATTCCTGATATGCAAGTTAAGTTTTATGATACTGTTTGTTTAAAACCCATAGACTTGGTTTGTGTCAAACTATGTTTGCTGATTTGTGGTGCAATAATAAACCCAGAACACAAGGTTTCTATCTCAGCCAAGTAGTTGGATGGATCAAAAAGAATATGTAGACCTAAAGTTAAAATTATAGTTGTGCTTACAACTATAAAGAGGCACACAGGAACAATTCTGCTTACATTAAGCTATTGTTTCCAAACAAGGTGTTCTATATACAGAGTTCTATATCAGAGTTATATGGACTCAGATAGTTTGGTAACCTAAGTTACCAAGTAAAAATCATGTCAGCACTGTAGTGATTATGACCACAATTTGGGTTAGTATAATGAAGATTGAAACCTGTAGTCTTTATATTCCATTTTCTAAATCCTCAAAATAAGATTTTGTATAGTTGACAACTTCATGTGCCATTCTGTTAAATTATCCGTGGCGGGGTGAGAGCAAGGAAAAGGAAGAGAAAACATGTCAGAGGTAAACCTGATGGGATTACTATGAAAATACACAGTACAAGGCCATAGTTTAGCATCAATTTGCCTACATGTTCTGAAGGTATTGGGGATCTGAAAGCTAGGAGGTTCTATCTACCCAAATAATTTAGAACTGAACCTGCCCTACTAGTCATTTGAGAAAGCAAACAACACCCATCTGCTACTAGTCAGGAATCACCCTGTCCACAATTGATTAGAAAGACTAAAAGTTAAAAAGACAAATGCTTTCCAGATGTAAGTAAACCTTTGAATGCAGAAATGTTCTTACCTGATTAATTTTCCTAAGATTTATGTCTCCATCAATCCATCTTTCTGAGTACTCCCACTCTGTGAGCAAAACCAGAGGCAATTCAAGCACTGTGGCTGAAAGCTCTAGGCTTAAGCCCTAGCAGCAACAGATGTTCACTAGAGTAGCATTTCCACAGTCCTTGACATAATTTACATATAGAATGATAACATATATGTACTCTCTTTTTCTTTCCCTCCCTCTCTCTGTGTATGTGCCTGTCTGTATGTGTTAATAGTACATGTTTTACTGTGGTACTCTTCAAGTAGCAAATAAAAAAAAAACACATCTAGACCTCAGTTGCTTGACTTAAGATCAAAAGAGACATTACCCATGAACCCCCAAAAACATAATCAGGTAAGACTTTCCATTCTTGTGTCATAATTAGTTACTGTTGAAGCAGTAAAAAGCAATTCTATGAAAGCCAGCAAAGAGGAAGCTTTGTGGTGGACAATGAAAATGAAGAGGGAAAACAGACAGGTGAGGCAACTATTTGCAGCTTAAGTTTACACGAAGACATGCAAGGATATAAAAATTATTAGTGTGGTCAGAGAAATCAATCACAAACCAAATAGGATTAGTTGAGAATAAGAATAAAAGGAGGGGAGAAAAATTAAGAATGGTGTTTTCAGGAGAGAGAAGTGAATAGAACAAGAGTATTTCCTTACATGGGATCTTCAGAAACAGATTTCATGAATAGTAAGAAACAATCAACAAATACAGTAGAGCACAGCTATACCAAAACTCTATATTAAAGCATATTAGCTGTAAGAAATCAGCTATAGTGGCAAAGGAGCTAGTACTGTATTGAAAGCAGAAATTGCTGAGAAGTTAAATGAATTGATAGTACCACTCTTTACTGCAGAGTTAGTCATATTTAAGCAAAAAAAATTCTTTGCATAGTACATCTGGAAAACGAAGTCAAATAGAAATAATAAATTACATGTTTGAATATAATATTCTCCTAAAAAGGATGTGAAGGCAATCAATAGAGATATGGGAGTTTTTAGTACAGCAAAGTCATAAATATTAAACTGAAAAAAATATGATCTGACTTTTAACACTTTATTCTCTTCTTTAAAGCCTCAGTGCAAAGATCAGACAAGAAAGTATCAAATATCAAAAGTAGTCATATTTTGAATCATGTATTACTGTACATACTGTATACATTGCAAAATCTTGCTATCCAGGATTTTAGGTTAACTAGGTGGGCAAGGAGGACTTCCTAAAGAATACTGCACTCATCAGACAGCCCATTTTAAAGGGATACTTTAAATTAAATTATTTCAAATGTAATGTTAGCACACTAGTAAGGCATCTGTCAAGGCCAGCAATGAATAGGCCAAACCGGAAAAACAGGAAGTTGTACATTTTCTTGCTTTATAGACATCACATTTAAATTCAATTAATTTAAAAAAAAGCAAAATGTATGTAGGATCTATTAATCAAACAACTAAACTCCTTGCTCAAAGATTCTTCAGAAACTGGATACAAACAACATGAGCAATCTTCACTATTGCTCATTCAGGGAATTTTATAGGATGCTGTTGGAAAAAAATGAGGAAAGCTAATCCAGCTATAAAATTCATAAGTAACAATCATTAACACAATAATCAGAATTAATTTAAAAAACTATCCTAAAAAAATCCAAAAGATCATCATAATAATAGTAGTAGGTTTCATATAAGTGATGTAAGAGAAAATCAGAAGAATTAAACAATAATGATGAGGTGCTGATGAGGTGTAACCAGAGCATAGAGGAACAAGATAAAATAAATATTAAGAATAAAACAATCACATGAGAGAATCAAATTTTGACTTTAAAATAAAAAAAAGCATCTTACACCAATAAAGTGTATCTATGCAAAATACGCTGTATTAAATTCACTAGGATAGCTGTGAATAAAAATATCATCAGCCTAAGGCTACAGTTCCATATACTGTATGAGTTTCTTCAAACAAATTACTTAGATATATTGGACTTCCAAGTTTCAGAATCCATTAATTAGAGGCCACACAGACAGGGGGATTATGGCAATTGACAATATCTAATATACTGGGAGAGTACCAGTCTGGAGAACATTATAATAAACACCATCTGGAGTAAGTCCTATTGAATAACAGGCTCCCTATATAAAGGACTGCACTTCAGGTCTCATTTAGAAAAATGACAAATACTACATTTAATATAATGCCATCTCAAATTTTCCTTGGAAGGGCAAAACTCTGTCAAATTGAAGTTTTCATAGATACTATCCTTAATGAAATAAATGAGCAAGATAAATGACAACCTCAGATACAAGACACAAATTGAATTGACTGCGTCGTCATTCAAGAAAGGTTAATGAAGACCACTTACCTGGTAAGTTAATTCATCATGGTTTGCAGGTACTGAATGTGGAGCATGGCTGACTAGGATGACCTGCTGGGAACTTGAATTGGTCTGGCCAGAGAGAGTAGAATCTGTGAGTAAAGCAGGAAACTGTTGACCCTGACAAAGAAATTTCCAAATGTTTAGTAAAATGTGCAACTAATTCACATCATCAAAGTCTAAGTCAATTAACATATTTATTATTTAAACTTTCCACACATAGGTAACTAAAATTACCAATAGATAAGATTACATTATATAATCTAATATCACAGCTAAATAAAAATTTTAAGCTCTTATTCTATTAATAACCCCAAAATATTTAATTTGTCTAATGTTAAGTTATCCTAAATGCAATAATATATAATGTAAAATTAATTTATTGAATATCCTATTATCACATTAATTAAAGTTTTGTATTAAATCTGAAATCTGCCCAATAAATCACACTTACAGCACCATCAATTTGTTAGTATATAGTACTAACAAAATTCAAGAGCATTTGTCACTTGTTAATTTTTTTTAAAAAAAACTAAACATAAGGGAGAAAACCAAAGTTGAGAAGGCTATGTAAAAAAAACTAACAAACATTTATTTCAGCTTTACATACTTTGATTTGGCTACTAAGAGCAAAGCAATGAAGATGCAGCATTATATAATGTATTCTGATAAATGATTGGAAAAAAAATATTTTATTCATAGTTCTCAAGGCCATTGTATGAAAACCACGAGGCTTAATCCATAATTAACCTCTTAATCCTTGAGGGATTAACTGTGACTTTTGCAGTTAATTGATTTGGGGTGAGATGTATATCCTTGATGCATATTTCAGTATTGCCCACTACATTTCTTTCTCTAATCTGTCTGTCACTTAAAAAGTACGGTCGTCGAATAGTCGGCCAGATGTTCAGACTAGATTAGGTATACTTATCAATTTATCAGAACCCTGAAGACTTGGGATAGGCAAATGTAGATGTGTTAAAGGTATCGTCGCAAGATGTAAGCTGTTCAGAGTAAAGTTGCCTTTTGAAATTAACTGATGGTGATTTTGTCAAAGCCAGAGGTGTTCAAATGGTGTTCCAGTTGTTCTGGGACTGTACCCAAAGTTCCTATTATTATTGGTACCACCTTTGCTTTCTTTTGCCACAGTCCTTTTATTTCTATTTGCAGGTCTTTGTATATTTGTATCTTCTCCAGTTCTTTCTCTTCTATTCGGTGTCTCCAGGTTCTGCCATGGCCACTGTCCAGATTTTTTTCTTTTTTTTCGTTGACAATTGCTAAGTCGGGGGTTTTAAATGGCAGGCACCTATCAGTTTGAATTCTAAAGTCCCAAAGCACTTTAGATTCTTCTTCGTATAATAACTATTAGACTTGTCTACTGCCCAACTCGCCTATATGCTACACTTTGTTTTAAAAACCATACAACCAAAAGAAGCACCAATTTGTATTATCCATGTTCATATTTGTATCATATTCTATATCCTTCTTTAACAAACTTCTACATTTAAAATATCTCCCAAAGATGTAACTTTCTTCTGTATTTTTTTCTTACTGCTTATATTTAATCTATGGATGGGTCACATGTAGATAAATTAATGGGAAAATTAAGAGTAAACAATCGTCCTTTGTAATTGATGAGAGTTAGTGGTTAGCTGGATTCAAACTATTGTTCTGCAAACAAAAGGGCACAACAGAATTTCTTGTCCCACTAATTCAATGCTTCCTGGGGAGAAAAGAAGGGAGCCATATTTCCTAATCTGTGCTTCCCCCTGCAGTTCTTATGTCACCCTTAGAATTCCATATTATCTGGAGCAAGTTTTAGGAAGCAAAAAAAAATAGCAAGAAGGGGGGCAGGGGACAACAGAAGCTTGGATGCAAAACCTGAATGTTCCATCTTAACCTTAGGAAACATACACAAAAATTCAATTACATACAAAGTTGAAACCACATGAAGAACGAGGTATATAGCGCACTTTTAAAAATACTCCTTGCTTTACAAGCAGGATTAACCTACAGTTATCTTAATTCTTTTTTTCAAGTTTTGAAAAAAAAATTAGCAAATGTTGAGAGGAGGATAGAATAGATCAGAGAAATGACACAAACCTGTGAAGTGATATTAAGTGTCACTGCATCAAGACCAGCAGATAACATACTCTGAGTATCAGCCAGGGTCAACGTAACACTTCCATCTCCTCCTACACCCGGGGATGACATTACTAGGTTCTGAGCTGCCTGAGACAAGGGTGGTGTCGTTGGAAGGTTTCCGCTTGAAGCATTGAGTTCTACAAAATGTATATCGTAAGAATTCAAAATCAGAATCACAATTCATAATAGGGGGAGTATGTACAACATTCTTAGATTCTTCATTATTTAGCCATTTTGTAACTTATGCAAAATTTAAATTCCAACTACAACTGTAAGTATCTTACTCCAAAACAGTTCTGTGCTACTCACCACTTGGAACAGATGTGTATTCCTAACAATTAAAATTGTTTAAAAAAATAAATTTAATTTTTTTAAAAATTTAAAGCAATTAAAATAAATTAATGTATACCTGCCCTCATATATTCTGTATGCAACAAATTTAACAGAATAGGTTGCAATCACAGAGATTTTAACACGAGCTTAAATAACATTAACTTGTATATGGTGTAATATCTTGGGATTACGTGCCCTGATTAATATGCTTAACATATGTTCGATTTAGAATGTCAGGATTAGGAAGGTTGCACTAGTGTAATTTGTAATGGGAAAGTCAGCATGTTTGGTGGAAGACCAAACTGAACAACCTTGGGTAATTCATTCTCTCAGCAGAGGGTTTGAAAATGGCTTTGAAGAAAATATATCGTAGTCATTACCAAAATATCAATTTTGCCTGAAAAGAAGGAGAGAGTGAGGGGGAAAAAATCAAGTCTGGTCCAGCATGATTATCTTGGGTATAAGAGAGGGAAAGATAAATTGTCAGGTTTTTAAGATTCTGTTATTTTAGCTTATATAGGTAGTTCTTGACTTAAGTCACCTTTTTTAAGTGCTGTTGTAATTTTGAAGGGTCACTAAATGAATTGTTATAGTGACCCTTCAAAATTACAACAGCACTGAAAAAAGGTGACTACAACTACTGCAGCACCCCCATGGTCATATGATCAAAATTCGGATGCTTGGCAACTGGTTCGTATTTATGATGCTTGCAGTGTTCAGGGATCACAGGATCAGCTTTTGTGACCTTCTGACAAGCCAAGCCAATGGGGGAAGCCAGATTCACTTAAAAATGTTACTAACTTAACAACTGCAATGATTCATTTAAACAATTGTGACAAGATTGTAAAATGGGGCAAAACTCACTTAACAAATGTTTCATTTATCAACCTAAATTTTGGGCTTAAATGTGGTCGTAAGTTGAAGACTACCTGTATCATAATGTATTTTCTTGGGTATTTGCCTCCTAACCTGGTCTACCTCAAAAGGGACCACACTTTTAGCTCAGCCTATCTCAGAAGATTGCTGTGGGGGGAAAACAAGAGAAGAGAATGCTATGTGTATTGCTTTGAATTCCTAAATTAAAGCTATCAGGCAAGCAAACACAAAGTGCACTGAAATTTAGGTTAAGGTGAACAAGAATTTAGATTTAAATGATTACTTTGGTGTGATGAAAATCTGTGCAAAGCAATCATTTCTACTTTTATGTCTTGAGGAAACATAAACTGCCAGGCTCCAAGTAATGTTGATAGACAGGAGTTGCAAAGGCACTGTCCCGATCCACAGCTCTTAACGGGTATGGAAATCTTTTATTTCCAATAAAAGTGTGTAGTGCGCATTAGTTAGAATGCAGTATTGCAGGCTAACTCTGCATTCCCACTGCCAGGGGTTTGATCCTGACCGGCTCAAGGTTGACTCAACCTTCCATCCTTCCATCCTTCTGAGTCAGTAAAATGTGGACCCACATTATTGGGCGCAATATGCTGACACTGTAAATCGCTTAGAGAGGATTGTAAAGCACTGTGAAGCGATATGTATGTCTAAATGCTCTTGCTATTTTGAAAACATAATGCAAAACAACATACCCTCCCCATCACAGTGAAATGGGATGCCTTTAATGACTGCAAGTTCTTGCTTGGCAATTCTAGCATTGGAAGTGACTTCTGTGGGTGCATATTTTTGGACTGAACTTAAGCCCCTTGGGAAGGTAAGCTGTGCCATATTTGCACCTTGACAAGGTAAATCTCATACTCTCCATGAGCCTATTCTTCCAAAGCGTGGCTGTCTCAAATACTTCCTACTAAAGATAACCATGTGGTTCAAATTAATAATTTATAATATCTTTTCAAATGTAAATTCCATTGAGTTCACTGCAAAATAGTTCTAATTAATTATATGCAAACTAGCAAATTTGAGGAAAATAAATGAAAACCTACCTGAAGAACTATTCAACGTTGGGTTCTGAGACAGTAATTGATCATTATTTATAGTTAGCGTGGTAGAAGGTGATTGATTAGTGATATTAGGTGTTGCCAATCGTAGGTTCCCATTCAGCTCATTGTTGCCAGAGGAAATGTGTTGGATAAGATCTTGGCCTAAATGGAAAATGGAATGGTTTAGCCACTTCAGATCTAAGGTTCACTTTCCTTTTACAGTAACAAAGCTCTCAGCAATTAGAGACATCATGAAACTTTATAAATTTTAATATTATTTAAAATGAGCAGTTTTAATTTTGAAAAGAAAATAATAAAAACTTCAGAATGAAAGTTTCAGTATGACTAAGCTTTACATTTAAAGGGTCCACTGCATCCTATTTTTATGTATACTGACAGGATCAATATGTACATAGAGCATATCTATAATGAAATAAAGCCCAGAATTATTCTCACGTATAACAAATTAAGAGACAAGTATGCTGCATCATATCAAGTTCAAAGTATATAATTATGAATTATTTTACAATATAGATCATATATTGCCATATATATAAAAGAAACATGTGAAGCAGAAGCTGCAGTAGTTTCTCTTCACCAGAAACCTCAAAATTTTCAAAAAAAATTTCTATAATGTACTAACTGGATACCCATGGTTTGGGACGAAACTTTGTGTTTGGGCTAAGCAGGAGAAATTTGGTTCACATTCCGTTGGCTCAGTGGTGGTTGGTGATTGAAACAAATAAGGGAATATCGCTCCTGCCGCCTTGATTCCGGAAGCAGGTCCATAGGTGGAAGGCGTAAACATTTTGGTGAGCTACAAATGTTTAGTACTGTAAGGAGCCCCAAGGCCGCTCCTGAGTGAAGGAGTGGAATGTCTGCCAGCTAGAACTGAGGTAACGGAATGTGACGCAACTAGAAATTGGAACAGAGTTCTTTTCAAGTGGGGAGGGGGAGTAGAACTCCTTTGCATCAGAGCATGTTAATTACTGTATAGGAAATACTAATGATCTGATAGTCATTTTGAAAAATCCTTTCTTAGTGAGCACCTAGAAACCCAAATTTCTAGTTTGTAAACTTTACGGTTCTGGAGATTTCGTGATGAGTGAATAGTACTTGGCTTTATATATATATATAAATAA